ACACATGCTAAATGAATGACTTGGAATTTTTGGATGGATGGAATTTTTTTTTTTCCTCTCGCAAATAGCTGAATATGAGTAATTTATATTCAACATGGAAATCTCCATGTGAAGTTAGCGTGCCCTGTTTTGTTACCTACTACAGTATATTCTAAACTGAAGGTTTTCAAAGATTTGTGATGCCATGGATACATATACATCTAACAATATTTTGACAACAGAAAGTAAAAGAAAAACAATGGCTGTCATGACATTTATCCAGTCCCAAGTATATAGTTTAACAAGTTTCTCACATATATTTTTTTCAGACCCACTTGCACCCTCTGGATCCCAGTTTGAAAACCTCTGCACTAAAGCATCTTGCGGTTTCTTTTAAAATGATTGAATGCAAGTTTTTATGGGCTGAGAAATTAAAACTATTAGGAATATTTGAATTTTTCACACAAGACTAAATTAAATTAACAAGTTAAGGCAAAAGTTTAATTACAAACTAAAAACTTAAGTAGAGATCATTCACCTAACGATATACTTTATATATATATATTACACTCTACAAGTTATTAAAGGGTATGGAATAGAAATGGTGTGCATCAATTACTCAATGGGCAACCCTCTTAAATACACCATGTGAATAATTCCAAAAAAAATTCCTGAAACTCACACTATGACAGACATTTACACAAAGACAATACAAAATATACGAATAAGTACAATTTATTTAAAAATATGTACAAAGTCAAAAGCAAGGAGCAGTTCAATTGAAAGTTCTTGTTCATTTTACAACTAACTTCAAGGAAATTATGAATTTTCCAAACAGGAACCTTAAAGCTTGCATTCGTGCTAATGTAAAGTGTCTTAAATATGATTTCATGAACTCACTGTCAAAGACAATCCATCAATCTCTACACAACAGTAAAACATGGATTTTCTCCTGAACAAATCTGGAACACTACATGAGATTTATCATATTAGACTGAACTTCATTTGAACATCTAACAATTTTTTATCTATTAAAAACTTACAAAAGCATTCACAAATGCAGTCATACTAAAACCTACAGGAAACGTTTTTCTTTAACTGATGAAGTTGTACACCAGAAATGTTGGTGTCTCACAGTACTTCGTAGCAAACAGCTTTCCTTCTGGTGTAGGGTCAGAGAAGGCGATTTCCTCTTTGGTCAGGTGGCTCCCGTACATGAAAGTAGTCCTGAATCAGTAAGAAACTATTTTATATACAGAAGCAACCTCCCACAATACATTTTTTTTTTTTGTTATGAATGCGCTGAAAATGTTTAGTACCTGACTGTGTCCAGAAGGCGAGTGGCGATGCCCTTCCTCCTCATCAGACTGAAAACCCAGATGCGACTGACACCACAGATGGCTTTTTCCGGCACGGTAGAGCAGCACCAGGCTCTGTGGTGCTCCATGAAATCCTCCTTGCTCATGTCTTTGGGTTTCTCTTGCTGTTCCAGCACCCGAAAAGCCTAATTGATATTGGGTATGATAAGAGTCAAGATCAAGAGGCTTTCTGCAGGTTTTTTTTGATGGTAATTGTTTTTTTGTTTTAGTTTTTACACAAAAATAGCTCAAGGCTTGAATAGCTCTGCTCCTAACCACTAGAATATGGAAACCACTTTTACTGTACCTTCTTATCAATCTGCAAAAAAATGATGCTCTTAATTAGTATTTTTGTCTTGTTTTCTAGTACAAATGTCTAAAGATTCTTAAATCTACATTTACTTGAGAAGCAAAATGAAAATAGTTTTGTTTGTGTTCTGAGAAATTGATCAAAATTAAGTGGATTTACAATTAAAACAAGAACAAATATCTACCAATGGGCTCAGAAAAACCAACATAATTTAGATTTTGGTTCAAGAAGTGAAAAGATTTGAAAGATACTTGTTCTTGTTTTAAGCATAAACTCAATTTTGATCAATCTCTCAGAAAACAAGACGTTCAAATTGCATCTCAAGTAAATGTATCTTGATTTAACAATGTTCAGACATTTGTATTGGGGGGAAAAAATACTAAGGATTTTTTTTTTTTTTTGCAATGCATGTAACATTTAATGCCATGACATTTCTGCTCAGATTTGAGACCTTTTTAGTCCTTAACTTGTGGAGGGGGAAAACTAAAACCTTTTAAAAACACAGAAACACTACTTTATAGCTCAGAATGGCAATGATACTGAACTAAAGTCAAATGTTAGAAATGGTTTGTTAAACACTCACCTGTCTAATATTTTCAGCCACCAGACATCCCACCACCATCCTGTCGCTGTTAATGAACAGGTAGGTTTTAGCTGAGCTCGGGCTACTGAGGGTGATCTGCTGAAAGCCCAATTCACTGTCTGCAATCCGTCTCACGTCCTCTGCCTGAAACAAAGCAGCATAGGTTAGGAAATGCTGGAGATTTAGCTGGACAGAGCAAGTGTTTAAACTAGAACCAATCACTGCCAGCATACCTTTTTTGTGGCATACTTAGGATCATCAGGAAGAACAAGAATAATCTTTCCATCCCAGAACTCAGCCACAACCCTCTCTTTTTTCCAACCCTAAAAACATACAAAATGATGTAAAATTGCAATTTTTTTTTACAGCAGAATTGCTCAGCTGCATTGATAAAAACATCATGACAGCTCACCACAAACTTAATGGTGTCCAAGAATCGCTGATGGAACTGTGTGTGCTGGAAGTTGTCCTCTGGACTGTCTGTACTGTACAGCATCCCACAGGACCCACACGTGGTGGCGCCGAACTGCTTCTGACCAGCATCCTAAATACCAGACACGTTAACCATTAAGAAGAGGTGAAAAAAAACTACCAGTTTATTTCTCTCCAACAATTTGACTTTCTACTCACAATGATAAGCTGGTTATCTGTTTGCTTCTTCATCTCTCTTCTCAATGCAGTTCTCTCTTTGGCCTTCAGAGCAGGAGTACCAGTCAGTGCAGGAGGAGTGCTGGTGTTCAGTGGTGGCAACAAAACCCCTTTTTTCTGAGATCTAAAACAAAGATGAGAACAACTTCTGACGATCAAACAAAACACTTTTACACTGAATATAACCTGGCTGGAACACAACGTCATTAGGTCATTCTATAACATTAGCCTTATGCAGCAATGCTTTTGAAACTATACATTTTTTTACAGTAACCATGACTGCTTTTTTCTGTAACCACGCTCCCCCCACTTCCTCAGTGTGACATAATTTTGCCACAGTTGCATTAGGAATAAATAAATAAGTATATGACTGTCTTACCTCTTAGTGCCAAAGATGGGATAGACAGATGACTCTTCTGAAGAGGGAGCAATTAAAAAATAATTTACAAAATGTTAAAAAATCAGATGTTGTTTTGCTTTGTTAAAAACAGAATTTATAAAAAATTATTACATTTATCTAAGATAAACTGAACAAATTAGAAAGTAAGTTCTAAAGTAATATAGAATAAAAATGACTTGTTTATAAAATAAAATATATTTTTGTTTATATAGATAATTAGTGGATGTTTTTTACCTTCATCAAGAGAGCTGTTGTGATCTGGTGGTGGTGGTATGTCACTCACATCAAACACCGAATCTGTTTTTGCGGGTGAGTCCTGGAAAACATTTTCAGTTTGAGAAAAAGCTGATGAAAGCTTTACATAGTTACTAGCAGATAATTCAACAGTTCAATATTACCTGGCTACTAGCTTCAGTGGATCTGTTGGGACTAACAGATCTCCTCAAAACCACCTTTAACTCTTTGGTAATACCATGCATATGTGCCAGGATATGAGGGGACATCTGCTTGGGGCTCAACATCACTTGCGTTGACTCGCTGTGCTCAGCAACTTTATCAGTAGTAACTTTAGTTGTGTTGTCTGCATTCGGGTGTCTTTTTAAGAAGATGGCACGGCGGACTGGGGAATGTTCTCCTGGTGCTGTCGGCGCTTCCTTCTCCTTTGTGGGTTTTTCATAGGTTGAGGGTTGTTTAGGCTTTGTGTTCTGTGCAGATCTTTTGAACATTGAAGTGGGCTTTTTTCCAGTGCTGAAGAAAGCTGCTCCCACAACCAGCTTGGGTTTACTCTTGGATTTCACACTGCTAAATGAAATCGGGGCCACCGTGGCCTTCAACGACTGATCTGTTTGCGTGTCAGAGGGACTTTTCCCTTTGGGTTTAGCAGTGAAGTAGCCTTTCAGGTTAGACTGTGGAACTGTGGCACTGCCTTTCTTTTGGAGCTTCCTCACTGTTTTTTTAACAGGATTCCCAGCATTCAAAGGGAGGCGTGATGGTTCTTTGCTAGGGACTGATGGCGGTGACTTGGTTTCCTTTAACAGCTTCCTTTCCAGAGGTGTGAGATAAAGAGGTTTCTGCTTGCTGTAGAAGGATCCCGCTCCCAATACAGTTTTTCGTGGCGAGATTCGTTTTGGAGGAGATTCTAGTGAAGAGGTCCTCGGCATCTTCTTAGGTGTACTGAGAATCTTTTGGGGTGATGCCAGCGAGGTGGGAATATTCTCTTTTTGTCGAGTGGCCCTTCTTGGAGAGTTTCTCAGGCTTGTTATTTGTTTCTTAGATGGGTTACTATGGTGGGTATAAACAAAACGGAAAGAAATGGTTCACAATCTGTGTCATAAGAGCAAAGTACATTTCAAAA